AATTAACGTAGTTTCTTTAATTTATTTGTACTTTGTTTATTTTGATATTATTATTATTACCGTGTAGACAAACTATCAATTTTTGCTTTATTGTTGAGCTTTACATTATTTGTCTGAAGTTATTAATTACTTTGATTTTTATGATTGTTATATGTTCTCCCACTAGTTTAATTTACTTTTTGTTATTTGATGATTGATGAAATTGATTTATGCCATTGTTAATTTATAAAAGTTTAATATGATTTTATTTGTGTTAATTACAAATTAACAGAAAATATATACATAAAATAAGGATAAGTAAATAGATATACATTGTGAATATACATTTTAATCTTACATTGTGAATATACGTGTACCTATATTAAGATTTTAATCTTTAGCTGCAGTGGTTACCCTGTATGTTATTTAACAAACAAACACTTAATAAGGTCCACACTTCGATACAAAATCGATCCAAGAAGCCTGTCAACGCCACAAGAGGCTTCTGCGATTCTGGAAGGAGCTTGGTTGGCTCACTTAGCTAACCAGTTCTCGACGCATAAAGGACCACTCTTGAGTCTAAATGCGGAAACCGAAGCCTACAACCAATACCAAGGTCCACACTATGTTTTTTTTTTGTTGACGGGGTGGAAAATCCCTTCGGATCTCCGATAATAACGTCCAAGGAGTAAGACTGAAAAAATGACTGATTAGTAACATTTTATGATTTTCTTAACTAAAGTTAATAAAAATAAGCATAAAACTACAATTTATTTCATTTATAACTAGAAAATAGATTAATTATAACTTTTATACCTTTCCTTAGACTTTATAAGGGCCACGACACTAATTTATATGAATTTTCGTTACAAACTTAACAGTAGTTTAAGCCATTGCTTTCTAAAGATGTGACTTTTTTGGTATACAACGTCTAAAATCTTGCAGTTTAATTATGGACCTTATTTAGAGCCTTAATGCCCAATAAGGACCATAGACAAGCTTTTAAAAACTTGTCTTGTAAGTAACTGGCCATTGGTGCCTTGTTTCTGTACCATATATTCTCTTCAAATTGAAATAATTTATTTGATTATGATGTCTTACAACTTAACACACTTTCTAAATTTGATTTAAAGATTTCCAAAAACCCGGCCCTTATTAGGTGCATTTACCAAACTTATAGTTATTATTATTAGTTTTTATTTTCTACTTTTTAGTTCGGCTAGTTAAAAGCGTGTTTTTTAATTTCTATAATTTGTTGCTTTTTTAGTCATTAATGATGATTATGTTTAACCGACTTCAAAAAAAGGAGGAGGTTCTCAACTCGACTGTTTTTTTTTTTTTTGTATATTTGTTACGCGATTACTCCGGCAATTATAAACCGATTTGAATAATTCTTTTTTTATTTGGTAGGTCATACGTCAGAGGTGGTCCCATTGTCACCAGGTCAGGATCTGATGATGGGATCCTGGGGAAATCGAGGGAAACCCTCAAATTTTGTAGGCATATACACTGTTTATCAGAAATTATTTTAATCTATGTAGATTTTTGCATCTAATGGTCACCATCTGATGTTGCTGAGCTGATGATGAAGCTGATGATGAATGGTTTAGGAGTATGGGATCTCTGTAACAAAATTATGTAATACCATCGAATTTGAATGTGTTTGAGTCTAATTAATAAGGACTCCGATCCTATGTCATATTCAGGGTCTGATGATGGAGACGGTAAATAGCCATGGGAACTCTGTAATAAAATAAAACAATTCCGCCGTGTTTGCGCGATGTGATGCGCAGAGAACTTGCAGTATTTATGTCCCCACAGTAATTAAGAAGAAAAGGTTGAAATTTTGTATTCTATCTTGTTAAAATAATTCGGATAGACGTTTAGTTGCTATGGATGGCATCGCATTTCGTTTGTAAGTAATTTTATACTTAATTTATTTAAATAGTTCTGGAAAAAACTCTTAAATTTTGTGTGGGTCAACTTTTTAAGGAGAGGCCTATGTCCAGCAGTAATTAAATATAATATTTAATATAATCTAACAAACTACAGTTTGTTACTATACATTACGGTACGTAGTGTTTTAAATATCGTACTTATCTACTCATTACAAACATATCCTACACTAAAAATGGTAAAATAAACCCTTCAAAAAAAAAAGTTGAACCGACTTCAAACAACACCGACAAAGAGCACTAAAAATTAAAAAATAATTACAAATCTAAGTAAAAAACTATAATAAGTACCCTCAATGTAACAGGTAACACTACGCTATTTAAGGTATTAACAAAATCTTCGATGTTTCATTAGAATTATTTTGAATTCTTAATTTTTCATTGTGCTAATATAAAGCTGACATAGACCAGTATTACTTATTGTGCATCGAGCTTGGCACCGACTTCAAACAGACTAGAAGGGACTATTGAACTATTGGTATTATAATGTTACCTGCTACATTGAGGGTACTTATTATAGTTTTTTACTTAGATTTGTAATTATTTTTTAATTTTTAGTGCTCTTTGTCGGTGTTGTTTGAAGTCGGTTCAACTTTTTTTTAAAAGGGTTTATCACATTTAAGGGTCGTATTTTAAAGGATGTTTCAGTCGTGAATCTAGTCTTGAAACTAATTTTAAGTAGAGATTTTATAATTGAACGTCACTTAAAACGAGATTCACCTATCCAAAAGTGACTGATAACTTATTTTAGAACGATGTTTATGTCGAAATCTTTATTCAGGTATAGGCGTTAGGCGTTAAGCTGAAACTAGTCTCAAGCGGTGATTACTGTGCATTTTAGGGGAAATTAATGTGTTTTTCTATGATTTGTTTCTGAATAAAAACGAATGAATTACTTGTCATACATAACCAATTCACTTTAATTTACTTTAATTGATATTAAATTCAGTGAAATTCACATTTTACACACAATACTTGTATAAATTAAAATCACCACAATCTCTTGGGAAATGTGAAACAATTACTAAAAAAGTAACAAGTAAGTAAGTCATATATATGATTCAGCACACACTTCTTAATAAATAGCAAAAGATACTACCGTATTTTTAGATTTGAAAAAAATTCCTAAAGATCCTAATCGGGATAATGCACCAAATTTATGAAATGATTATATTGTCATGGGTTCTTGATAAAAGTGCAAAGTTACAGATTACATTGAGTAATTCGACGTTTTGAAGTGGGTCGACGCTCGAAGATTCCGTTACATACAAAACTAGTATAAAATGGTAGTAAGTGCAAGCAAATGGATGTATCGTTAAATTCGTAAAAATGTGTGGGGGGGGGGGGGGAGGGTGCTATATCTCAATTATTGTAAAAATATTTTAAAACTGAAGTTATTATATTATAAAGTATCTTGAAACTCCACGCTTTTTACGATAAAATATTTTTTCTTTTAACCGACTTCAAACATACAAAAGAGAAGGTTCTCAATTCGACTGTTTTTTTTTATGTTTCAGGTTCTGTATCTCCACCAATTGTAGACCGATTTTCAAAACTCTGTTTATAATCAAAAGGGTATATTCCCGAGACGGTCCCATTATCAACAAAACAGGATCTGGTGATGGGATCATTGGGATTAAAGACAAATCGAGGTAAACCATCAAGATTTAGAGCCCCGTCAACGTGTTTTAGCTTGTTTCTCTTGCTATTTAAGGTATTTGCATTTGATAGTCGTTATCTGATGTTGCTGAGCTGATGATGGAAGAGTCCTTGACCATTAGAAGGTAGTTAATATAAGAGACCCGTCCTTAGTCCTTGACCTTAAGGAGATGGATAAAACTTTTAATACTACGAGTATGAACATGTATTGACCTTGTTTTATTCTTTCAAGATATTTGTTAGGTGTTTGTGATATGTGCACTAGAAAATACAAAACATCTAGACAAAAAACATGTTTGTTACCTTAAAATTATTTCATTTCTAAACCGATTACGAAATACTTTTCTTATTTGGAAAGGTATATTTCCTCTTTGATTCCATTCAAATGTGACGAATAAATGCCACTCCGAATGGTGGTAAATCAAGTAATGTGGAAAACAATATATCTTCAAATTACAAATTTAACATCTTACTAACTTATCTAAATAAAGTAACGGACTTAATAAACTAAATTTAATATGATCTTTCATACTACACTTTGGTAATATATGTACATTATAATGTAGTTTCTAAATGTCGTATCTACTCATTACAAACGCATCTTACACAAAAAATGGTAAATAGATCCTTTAAAAAAATTGAACTGAGTGACTCAGCACTAAAACTTAAATTACAAATCTAATTGAAAAAACTAAAATAAGTGTGACCCTTAATATGGTAGGTAAAGTCCCCCGCGTCACAGGATTTATTCCTAATGCGGGAGTTGTCTTTATATAAACAAAACTACCTATTATAGTAGTAATAGATAGCTTCCAGTCTGTTTGAAGTCCCTGCCATTATTTGCATTGATATCTACAGTTCAGGACAACTAACTAATTTTATTTATTTATTTATATCTTTATTGTTTACAGTTAGCACATAAGACATTACAAATATATAGAAGTAACAATCGGTAACTATTTTAATTGATAGTTAATAAATTATACTTTAACTATCATACTAGATAACATCGCATAATTTTAAAAGCAGGAATAAATTGTAGAAAAGTTCATTTTTTTGGGCAGGCAAATCGGTCATAATTATGTATATAAAAGGTAGGTGCTTAATTATTTCTTAATACGTAAATAATTTTAAATAAAACTACGTATCAGTCTTCTCTGAGCGACAGCTTCCATCAAAATTTAATATAACAGATATGTTCGGAGACATGCAAAAAGTGACTCCCTACTCTCATAACACGAAATTGCAATTTATGTTCTTGATGACCCGCTGATAATAATACACCCCATCCCCTCATACACAGCCGTCACATATAAAAGGAAGTCTAGAAGAAGAAAGAATCATAACGGCTCGAACCTTAGTATTAAAAATAAGTGTAATACATACAATATTAAAATAATTTTTAACATGTCGTTTAAAACTTCTAAGCTGTTGTCACTTTACACCGTCAAATTATTTCTAGTATTAATTTACTACTGTGTCGCGGAGGAAACTTGTGAGACTGTTCCAACAGAAATACATGTAACAAAAGGTAAGTAATCTAATTACATAAGTATGGCTTGAACCAAAGTAAAAGCAAGTTTTAAATATATTGCAAGTACCTATATTTTATTGTACGATGTTTCTTACACTTGACAATCACCTAGAGTTGTGAGTCCTGAGTTGCGGGCGTTCACGGGCGGCGGTAGTCACTTTCCATTATTTAACGTGCGTGCTCGTTTGCTCCCTCTTCCATAAAAAAGTTATGTTTAATATAAGTTAAACAAAAAAGAATGAAATGTTATTGCAAGTTCTTTGTCGTTAAAAAAAAAACAATCAGAATTATAACGTCAGTTCAACCATATTACAATGTAAGTCTTTTGAAGGGTTTAATAACAGATTTTCTACCTACGTTTTTGTTTCAGTTTAGGTAATCAAATGTAACAAATTTCATGTTTCTAAGGCAATTGTAACCTAGTGGAGTAGAAAATATTTTTAGTGAGTCAGCCAAAACATTTCGATTTTCGGACGTTTATTTCTCATAGAGTATGAAAGTTAAGTAAAAATTTGGCATGTGGTGGTTCGAATTTCGAAAAGCGTACACAACTTACGTAGTAGATAGGGCTAGTGAATTTGCATTCCCGTTCGCATAGAAAAGCAATTACCTAGTTTATTTTAAGAAAATATACCTACTTTATCACAAATTAAAGATCGTTTCAAATGGACTAATTTTATTTTTATTAAACTTACAGAGGAATATGACGACATGGGTGCACTAATAAGATCTTGTAGCGGTGAAGTTGGTGTTAACAAATGTGAAGGAATTTGTAGCAGCCAAGTACGACCATCAATTTCAGCTCCTACAGGATTTTCAAAGGTACTTTTGTAAAGTAATGCATGTGTAAACAAACTTTGTACGAGTTAATCATTGAACGATGAGAACTTGGGCATTATTTTATAACCAAACACTTATAATCAGTCATTTTTATGTTCAGGAATGCTTTTGCTGCCGAGAAAATTTTTTGCGTGAGCGATTGGTTACACTTACGCACTGTTACGATCCTGATGGTATAAGGCTTGAAGATGAAGACAGCGCTATCATGGAAGTTCGCCTTCGTGAACCAGATGACTGCAAGTGTTACAAATGTGGAGATTTTAGCCGTTAATATTTTGATTGTTGTATGTGACGTAACTGCTATTTCAAAACTAGCACTGACCATACGAAATTATAATGGAGAATTTCAATGAATATGTTTGGTCAAGGGTTTTTATACAAAAAAAGTAAAAATATGGTTCAATAAGTATAAAATGTAATTACTTAATCATGTTATGAAATTGTTGAAAGTATACAAATTTTACTAAAGTTTTATGAAGTTGTTTCAATTTTAAAGTAGATACTAATGTGGTGTCAGTGTGGAGTAATTAATTATATTATGATTAGACTATACTACAGGATATCTTTATAAAGCGTAACCCAAAATTCAAGGATAAGCAGGCATCAGATGGTGGACCTTCTTCTATTCCTGAGTACTTGAGGAAAATAAAATCTTATTGCTTTTTAATTACAATAAAAAAAACACTAGAAAATTTACATCCCTTATGATATTTTTAACTACTATGCTATTTTTCAAATATTTCTATTATTTTTTTGTGTAAATATCCCAGAATGCGTGTAGTTTTTTGACAAAAAACAATGAAAATATTTTTTTCCCTAAAATTTTAAAAGTTTTCGTTTCACTTTCACTGATCGTGGTGTAAAAAAAGTATGGACACTACTATGGCAAGGTTTTTTAAAATTGACGCAACTAACCAACATTCTAAAATGGTATAATAAAAATCTGTACCAGTGAGATAAGGCAAATCCCTATATCAATTCAAGGTTATGTTAACCTATGGATATTAAACCGAAAAGTGCTTGAGCCCTTTGAATTACAAGGAAACTTAAACGGCAATAGTTACTTGAACTTTTTACAAAATGTCTTACCAGAATTATTGGAAGACGTGCTGTAAATAATTTACAAAAAATGTGGTTTCGTAACAAATCGCCCACACTATGGATCATATGGAAGATATGCAAGAAACATAAAACGATATTCTTAAAGCGTTGTCGTGTTTGTATTAATACCGGTGGCAAACAATTCGAACATTTACTGTAATGTAATAGATTAATAAAATTAATGTAAAATTGTTACCACTTATTTTGATTCATTTAACATTTTTTTTTATAGTCAAAGTGATTACTATCAATTTATGAAATTTGGTTAATGTTTAGAATAGTCTGCATACTATTTGTTGCTAGTTTTCCTAGAGTATTTGTTAGTTGCCACAATAGTGTCCGTTTTTTTTTTACACCACCAGTGAAAGTGGAGTGAAATAAAAATGTTTTAAATTTTAGGGGAAAAAAAAGAATTCACTGATTTTTGTCTAAAAAAGTACAGGCATTCTAGGATTTTTAAGAAATGTGTTAGATGGCAGTGCAGAACTGTGGTGATGGTAGTTAAAAATATCATAAGATGTGACAATTTTCTAGGGTTAATAAATGAGTTATTGTAATTTAAAAAAATTAAGAGATATTTTTTTTAATAAGCAGGTCTATCATCTAATAATAATAGGTGCCTGCTTATCGTTGAATTTAAGGACACACTATATACAGTATTTATAGGCACGCTCCTCGTCTGCCAGCCGCAGGTACCCAGGCGGGACGGACGTACGGCTCGACGGCCGTTCTCCTCTCGCATTTTAATATTGACCTGTCTAATACATAAATCTGATATATTCTAAGATATTCATTTTTATTGAACGAAATTTTTGTTAACATTAAATGCACAACATAATATGTAACATATTTAATTGGATAAGAAGTAATACTGTATTTTTTAGAATACCTTCGTAAATAACCCATCATTTTTTTGTCAATTATTAAGTAAAAGATAAAAATTGTGGTTACTGCGGGTTATCCTTAGGAGATAGAAATTTACTATCATAAACTTTTTTGTAGATATTTTAGATTTTCAATTTCGTTGTACATTGGTACTAGTTCTGTTGTTCGAAAACTCTCTAAACTAAACTAAAAATCACTAAAAATTAATTTCGTCCTGTCAAATAATGTTTCCTGTTCTGAAAACGTAGAATTTGGCAGGAATAAATTTTTTTTAGGGATTTTTAGTTTAGTTTAGAGAGTTTTCGAACAACAGAATAAGCACCATTATTTTATCTATATCGTAAGGTTTAGCCAGACATTTAGACATTACATTAACAATCTTTGAAATTTTCGGATTTTGTCTAGTACATATGTTGTCTAGTAGCATGTATTTTACATAATAATAAACCATTCCCTTGAATCACTTTTTCTACTCATGAAAACCACAGTAAAATCCGTTGCATTGTTTGCAAGACCTAAGCATACAGGATTACGACATTAAAATATACTAAGCGATCCGCTCGGGCTTCGCACCGTGGCAATATAGATACTACTAATACTACTAACGTGGTGCCAATGTGGAGAAATTAAATATACTATTATAATAATAAGACCATACTACAGTACATCTTTATAGGCAATATTTAGAGGCCCGAGCCTCGCCTGCCACCCGGGACGGACGTACGAGTACGTTCCGAGGTGGACGCGATAACGGGGGTTTTGCTGCCGCATTTTAAATCTCTGATATCCAATGAGATATTCATTTTAATAATGTGCTGTAAATGTCAATTTTGATCTACATTAACGTATTTATTTGGAAAAGGAATAATACGGTATTGTTTAAAATAGTTTCGTAATCTATTTATTATACATTTTGCTTTGTATTTAATCTGATATAAAATGTTGTTGACGAAAAGTATTTTTTTATTATATTATATTAGTAAAGTATTTTAATTAGTTTCCATAAAACTTTTAATAAATCATTGATTGTAATTCTTCCTTAAGCATCACTAGCTCACGGCTCTTCACGTCTTTGGCGTGGACATGAACGCAAAATTATACATTTTGAACCATGTACACATTGTGTTTTACATTGAGTTTTCCGATTACAGAGTGACTAATTGATATATTTCATTAAAAATAATAAATACCACTCAGAAATGATACAAGAAGAACCATTTATTTTGTACTATCAAGAAGGAGGATTTGTATTTTCGATTTGTAAGGACGTTTACCTCCTTTCTCAGGAGAGGCTTATGTCCAGCAGTGGACTATTAAAGGCTGTTGATGAAGGACGTTTTCATTTGACGTGGATAGATGTCCTTGGCGGTCAAAAGGTTAAAACCAATGCATTTGTCAGAATAACAGAAATAAAAAAGTTTGAAAAAATAAGTACTTTCACTTATTGCATACAAAACGGCAAATTCATAGGTAAAGACCTATTATTTATACAAAAATATAATTTTAAAATAAAAATGTAGCTTAGTAAAGTACATATTAATTTATAATTTTTGACTAATCCCACCCACACGCCCACCACTGTAACTCCTGTGCACCAGGATCCACAGCAGTGACCCACGAACACACCGAGTTATGACACTCGGGAAGTCCCAGGAAGAAATTAAACTGTCTTGGAACCCGCAACGAAATTAATCAGAAGAAAATTGGAGGAGTTGGAAATACAGTAAATCCACTTCCCTCCTTAGCAAAGCGGGAGACAAAATGAAGTAAAATGGGCATACACCCTTTTAAACAGGGAAGCACCACGGCCACAAATATTACGGGTCCTACGTGAGCTATGTTTGATTTCTATAATATGTATGGCAGAATCGCCTAAACGCACGGAAATTCACCCTAGTTGACACAAGATCCCCATAGTATACCGCCCCAGATGTCACCTGCAAGCTATTCAGCATTATATTACGTTCATTATACCAAAGACTACATTCCCAGAGGATATGATGAGCAGACTGTTCATAGTGAGAGTTAGGTGTTGAGCATTGACACAATGGTGACTCGACTAATTTAAATGAATAAAGCTTGCTCTTAAAGTTACCATGACCCGTAAGAAATTGAGCGACACAGTGATCCACCTCAAGCCATATCCTCGACAACCGTTCGCGAACAGATGGAAAGAATTGGTAAAGATGGCGCCCCTTGGATGATTCATCCCAGCGTTGTTGCCATTAATTTATAATTATAAGACACATAAAGTTGGTCAGTTGGTTGATGTTTTTAATTATCCTTTTGCGACTTTTGACTTAAAATCTGGTAAATAGGGGTCCCCGTTCCATACATACGATGAAATAAATAATAAAAAGATAAATCTATACTTATAATAAAAGAGCAGGAGGGCTATGTCTGCAACTAGTTTCTTTTTTGATATTTTTTTAGCAATAAAAAAGCACAAAAAGATTTTTTGGAACTATTGTCTCTCTGTCGGTAGGTATGTGACCACAGCACGCAAAAACCACTGAATGAATCTTAATGCAACTAAGCATAGTGATTTATTATATTTAGAGTTAGCATCTGCATTAGTTTTTATTCCAGAATAATTAAATTACTTTCTGTTAGTCATTAAGCCAATGTATTTTTTAAAAATTTAGTTTGCACATAATACACATAGACTTGATGTTGTCAAAACAGTCACAAGATGATTTGAATATTTGCAAGCTAAGAAATAAGTAAGTGGTCATTGATTTGATACTTAATTGGATGAAATTGAGAGCTTTTTCCGTGTAGTAACGGATTAAGAATACGGAATGTCACTACCCCAATTCATACCATGGGTGTCGTAAGAGCCGACTAAGGGTGCAAAACAACGCAGGACACCATCATCATCATCATCAACAGCCTTTAACAGTCCACTGCTGGACATAAGCCTCTCCTTAGAAAGGAGGTTTTGGCCTACTACTTTTTTTAGGACACCGGCACTGCAAAAAGAAGGAAAACTTAACACAAACCCTATACCAACCCGTCTGGCCAGCGTGGTATAGTAGGCCAAAACCTCCTTTCTAAGGAGAGGCCTATGTCCAGCAGTGGACTATTACAGGCTCTTGATGTGATAAAAGCTCTCTTTTAAACCGACTTTAAACAATACTATTGAAGAGCACTAAAAACGTTGCAGCAATTGCTTTGATTTGCAAATTCGTCTTTATATGATGGAGTTATGCCCAAACATAAATATATTATATATTGTAATATTAAAAAAAATGTTTTTGAATGTATGTTAATGTAATGTTAATGTGAGTCTATGTTCATATAAATGAATAAACTAACTGGTGCGGCACCACAAATTCTAACAAAGCTAATAATCTCGGGCGCCAGGTGCCTAAATGAACACAGACAACTAATAACAAATACAATAATTACCTGGAACAGCTCGGTCAGCGCTAGACCTTTAATCTAGGGTGGGGGGCAGCTATTAAATAAAGAGATGTTAAGCTTAAGTGGCAGTTTATTATACCGTAGTGTCTGTAGAGTACATGGTATATTATAGGTCTAATTACAAATGTAATTCTGATACTCAAATTAGTACTGTCATTAATGCAATCTGTTTACCTTGCTAATACAAATTAAAAGTAAAATATCTTTAAAAAGTCACATAAAGACGGTTAAATAAGTAAAGATTTAAAGGTAGTTATCATAACGACCTACTCCCATAATAAAAATAACACCCCTTAGAGCCTTATCCGTTATGACAACGCCGACAAAATTAATACAACAAAAAAACGTACCAAATGACTCTGGCTCTGTCCGTTTGAATTTAGGGTATAATTAATTCTTATAAAGCTCACTCGTGCTCCCACGTGGTTGTAGTGGCGGGGTAAGTATTCCAAGGTTCCTGGATACGGTCCCAAGCAAATAATGGGCTACAGCCAAAGGGCTTTTCCTGCCATTAGAGGTACTTAAGAAAGGAAATCCACACTCCGAAGCAAACTAAATCCTTGGATCGGGCAGGTAGTGAGGTAAAAACTAATTGTAACGTAAGGACATTACAATCTAATAAGAAGGAAACCCAAACTAATAAAAAAAAACTGAGGTAAAGGAAAAAAAACCCTGTTTGACACAGGGTTCCAAAACGTTTCACAAATAAATCAGAGGCATTACCAATAATTCCAAAAAAGCAAACCAATACTTCCAATAGAAAACTCGTTTGCTTAACAAGACTGGCCTACAATAAAAAGTGAATTAATCCTCTGATTATAACAAATTGAAACAGATTACAATTGTAAAAAAATATAATAGCTCAACCCTCCTACTTCACACGGGCAGACGCCAAAAGTGAACCACCAACGTTGCCAGAGCTATAGTTCCGTTTCGCCCTAGAATGCGACAAAAAATGTTGCCAGAACAAGAAAAAACTAAAATCGAAAGTATGCCATAGTCGATTAGAACAGACTAACAATTCTCGTCCGTGACGCCGTCTATCGGAGCTTACTGAAACGTCAGAAAATTCAACTGTCAAACCAAAAACACGTCCATAATTAACTTTTCTGTAATGGTGCGAATGCACCGTTACAATATATATATATATAAATCTGACATATCATGGTATGGAGGTACAAAATCACGAATAAAGAAACACGTGCATCATACATTTGTAATATCTTCACATCATCACATCAACAGCCTTTAACAGTCCACTGCTGGACGTAGGCCTCTCCTTAGAAATCTTACTTAAAAATTAATATTACATAATTATGTCGATGCTTATTGATGTATTGTTATTTTGGGCTATTTAGCGTTTAAGACGTTAAATTGCACATAAAATAGAAATTATCATTATTTTTCAACAATATTCATTATCATTAATACGCTTCACACATAGCTTTTCTTGTTCCCAGTTCTTGGGCTCGGCACCAAAGAAGAAACCCAAGCTTTGCTGTAATGTGTTTACTTAAAACAGATTAATACCATAACATAATTGATAGTGAAAAAATGAGTACTTCATTTTTTTTATTGATCGCAACGCGGCGATGTGAAGTGTTTTACTCAGTATATTTTTTTATTTCAATTTGGAAGGATGGAAGAAGAAATAATTATCATGAAAAATCATAAAGGGAACCACACTTTAATGCACATTGGATATATATTTCTTTCCTCGATAGTAAAAAAGGCGCATAGTACAAGAAGTCAAAATGGAGAAAAAATATTTTATTAAATTTAATGGGAGATCGTTCGCTGTCTTTGAGTAAATTAAAATTAAATAAATATAAAAAAAAATGAATTTATAGGCATAATAACAGTCTTTGACACCAAGTAATAAAAATATAAACATTTTAATAAAAAATATTTAAATAAAAATTACAAAAAAACGTTTCATTTAAGTATAAAAGATGTTAAAAATACTACTTTCATAATTGAATAGAGGCAAAAAACGATTTTTGAAGTGCTTTTAGTCTAAGTATTTGTGTGTAGATCTGTACTTTATGTTTTAAGAAAAGAAGGCACATTTGGCCACATACGTCTCTTTACTTGAGAATTTAAAACTATGAAGATAATCCTAGCCTAAGAATAAAAATCCATATAATTGTATATTAATTGTTTCATCTGACTCATTAACCTAAAAATAAGTTTTCAACGTTTTATACGTTATTAAACGTAAATGGTTACATGCGCCTTATTAATTTCGTCTTAGAAATACAGTTATATTTGCACCTTTTAGATTACCGAATTTAAATAAAATCGTAAGGAATATAGGCGTATTTATGTAAATGCGACTATGCATTTAAGTTTTAGATGAATTCGTCTTTTCAACTTCAATAAGGTGTAAAAAGTATGCATAAGCCCCTTATTTGTTGTGGTATAATTGTAAAGAAGCAAGGCAGAACTTATTAAAAATATAGGCTGATGCACCTGTTTTTACTGATTATATTTATAACTCCAATTCGGTAAAAATGTTAGATGTGCCTTCTCAATTATCGAAAGCAGAATAGGCTTGTGTCCACCAATAACAAATTGCTTGGTTTATAGTTTCAAATTATAAATGAAGAGACATAAATAAGAAAAAACCAGTCTATTTCTCATTTAAATAAATAAATTCGAACAAAATAGGCATTAAGTCACGTGACAGCGATCACCAATGAGAAAGTTGTACGTCACGCCACGCAAAATATCATTGTTGTTGTTGACGTTTTCATACAACAGAGCAGGTTACTCCTTAATGTTTTTCGTTTTTAGCATATTTTCTCAACTTAATACAGTTTCAGTTGACACTGGACACAGTTTTGTTTCGCAGACTTTGACGTCATTCAAGACGCCATGACACTATTGGATAAAATAGATATTAAAGTAAATAATTAACTAAGTTTTCAAATTGAGTCAACAAGCCTATTGTCAGGCTGATTATAGATATGAGGGAGAGGGGAGTCTCAAAAAAGTCACCTTTCATAAAAAAATCTTAAATTTGTGTGACGTTACGAGTATTTATGCATGGTCCTTTGCGTGTGAATTCTCAAGGGTCGTCACGATGAAGATCAGTAAAACTATAATTAAGTACTTATAATAAAAATATCTATACTAATGACTTGTTTGTATTTTTTTTAATAGAGATGTTGAAATATAATGGTTTTTAACCAGAAAGACACAGGCAGAGAAATTCTCAAATTCGACTGAATTTTTTCATGTTTGTTAAGTGATGTTCTCCATCAATTTTGACCCGATTTTCTAAATTCTTTTTGTAATCAAATCAAAAGGTGTATTGTCACCAAGTCGGGATGATGATGGGATTCCAGACAAATCGAGGGAAACACTTAAATTCTGTGGTATTTATCTTTTATTATCTGCCTGGGTGGCGCAGTAGTAGCGTATGCGACTACTGTGCTGAGATCTCGGGTTCGATTCCCGGGTCGTCCAAATGTCATGTCAAATCATTATTTCATGTTGCTGAGCTGATGATGGAAGAGTGCTTGAGTTGAGAGTTACGGGATAACTCTTCACATATTGACCTTTAGCTTTAGGTATTTTTGCAATATATTTATTAGGTGTTTGTGTTGGGCTACAGATAAATGTGTACAAGAAAGTAATAAATAAGATTACAAAACATTTTCACACATGAAATAGAATGTGTATTTGTTGCTCAATTATCTTTACGTTTGTTACTGAAATATTCATTTATCAATATTATTAGTACTGGTGGTGGCAGCATATAGTTCCCGTTACTTAGTCTTAGAATTAATAATTATTATGTATAATATTCTAATGGCAAGGCGATTGTGATTACACACATTTATTTTAATCCCATATAGATTGTATAGATTATATATATTTAATCACTAGGAATATTTCTTAGTTTCGTCTCCTACTGCGAGTCCATTTAAAGATCGATTAAAACATGTCAGCGCTGTTGGATCGCTTGTAGCTCTACGATACATATTTTGCTAACATGCCTTTAGTTTTAAGTGACCGTTTCATTTTTTTGTAGTCATACACCACCCCTTAAATACCGGCGCTAGGCGAATATTTAACACAAGAATTTCATCCTCCGAAGGATACAGTACAGTCTCATCATAAAAACCTGTTTCTAAATAGTGAAAATGTTTCGAGTTGACATGATTATTTTATGTATTATGTTATTGTCTGCTTGCCATATACAAGAGAAACCAGTAACTGCACAGTCAGTTGAAGTACCTTTGTCTCCAGGTAAGTATGATTTTTGCATCCTCTTTCGGTGGCAAACAAGTGTATCAATCGTCGGACGTTATTTGAGTTACCTATGACTATACCTAATTACGAGTATAAGTATATTAGGGTTAACAATAGTATCTCATACCCATGCGATAGTTTTAAGTGTTTGTCTATGCAATCAGTAATAGAAAGATAGTAATTAAGTGTTATTTTTAGGTCAAGAATGTCAGATGACCCCTGTTATACACGTTCTAAAACATCCAGGATGTATACCTAAAGCCATACCTTCGTTTGCGTGTATTGGAAAATGTACCAGCTACGTTCAGGTAGTAAGAGCAGAAGTATTTAAAAATGTTTAATACTTGCCTATGAGTAATTTGTAACGGAAAGAATTTGAAAATCGAATATTTTCAGGTCTCTGGTAGTAAAATATGGCAAATGGAACGCACCTGCAACTGCTGCCAGGAGTCTGGGGAGCGGGAGGCCACAGTAGTTTTAATTTGCCCGAAAGCTAAAAGCGAGGATAAAAGATTGAGAAAAGTCAGTATGAATAAATTATATATTTTTATGTAATTATTGCAACTCCTGATGATGCAATAAACCTAAATAGAAAAAGACAAGGTTATTGAATCCTTATGGACCCATAAATGTACTATCACTTTATAACTTAGCAAATTTTGGTTTTAGATTACTACTAAAGCTCCCTTGGAATGTATGTGTCGGCCCTGCGGCAGTATTGAAGAAAGTGCTATTGTTCCTCAAGAAGTCGCTGGATATGCTGAAGAAGGTCCCCTATACAATCATTTTAGAAAAAGCTTTTAAGATCATAAATTTATGAAATGTTAGTGATTGTTATGCTATGCTAGTAGACTAGGAACTTGTAATTATGTTGTTTTTAAAATAAAAACCTTTGACCAATAACCAAATACGGATATTCATTAAAGCATGTAAATATTATTAACAACACGATTTATCAACAACGACTAAGTAATATTTTTTTATTAATATGTAAAGGTACAGGGTCTGTCGTAAGTAACGGATAACACGTTAATTTAAGGTGGCCCTGGTACCAGGCTATAAGAAAATAACATTTTCATGTCAGGGTTGACAACGGTATGAAAATGGTGACCACTTTTGTTTTCTTTTTTAAGTTTTCCTACTTTGCTTATTATTTCTTGCATTCTCATGCCATTTCAACAAATTAAGGGGGTTCTGGCTGGTTTTTTTTTGTATCGTACTCCTGGAGACTTGTATTATTTTATTAATTTGCGTTATTAATGTATTGTAACTGCGTGCGAGTGTCCATTTAGTGGCTCGAAAAATCATAGAAGCGAAAAGGGTTTTTTCCCTTTTTTACTTCATTTTGTCTCCCGCTTTGCTAAGGAGGGAAGTAGATTTACTGTATATACCTCCTCCAGTTTTCGTCTGATTAATTTCGTTGCGGGTTTCAAGACAGTTTATTTTTTACCTGGACCTTCCCGAGTGCATAACTCGGTGTGTTCGTGGGTTACTGCCGTTGGTCCTGGTATACAGGACTTTTCATAGACCAATTTCAAAATTTAGCTGGAACCTGCTAAATTTAATCTTTATCTATCTTTTCCTATTTTAACAGGATGACACCTTCTTAAATGATTTTCGAGCTTCGATGGTTTCATAGGGTCATTGCTCAAAACTTTGTTGCATAAAAGGCATATGGGAAATCGCTTGACTGCCTTTGGTGGAAGAAAACCAAATTTTAAATAATCAACACTATACTGTCGACATTTCTTCTTAGTTTAAAAAGATAATAAGATATGGCATTTTAACAGAACAGGATTACCTAATTAATTATTGCAATGAAATAAACAAAGTATCGATGGCAAACTGATTCTAGTTATTAAAAGCAATAACTCGCTTCATAAAACTGAAAGCAAGCTCAAGCTTGATATCAAAACTCCGCACTGTTAATTATTATTTATTCATTACTTTGATGCACGTGACGGGTACGTAAAGACGAGTACAATTTATGAAAATATATTTAATTAATTACTTCTTTAATACAATTTATGAAAATATATTTAATTAATTAATTCTTTAATACAATTTATGATAATAAATTTAATTAATTAATATCATGCAGTTCGATCATAATACACCGTGTAAAGGATATCGTGACGAATACTGACCATCATTCTGAGTCGGAAATCATTGGAATTTTCTGCCGGAAAATTCATCTGTTTTTTTAATTTCCTTTTTTTGGTTAAAAATGATATCACAAGGAGTAAAAATAACATTTTACCGAAAAAGAACTAATAAATACCGCATACGGCTAAGAACTGCAATGTAATTAATCAAACAGCATTTGAACGTTTAATGCAATCAGCTGTCAACGGCGTCAAACGTTAAGGTAGGTATTCCGTGCAAAACAGTCTACACACACTAACATAATTTACCGCAGGGACACGTTTATTCCTGTCTTATAAAATAATACGAAATGCAAATAGGTATGCAGGTGCAGGCACGCACCCCTAGGTACGCACGCATAGGTATGGCTACCGTCTCCTTCTGTGAGCAAGTTATGCTTGCGAAGGAGATGGCGGAGCGGGACCGAGAGAGGTTTAGAACTCTCCTGGCCCGCCAGGCTCGGGAACGGGCCAGGTACCGCAGATGACTCAGGCACCGGAGTTCGCAGAACGACCTCCTTCCTCCATAAGCGCAGGCCTGGGGGTGACAGGTGAGGCCATCTGACACCCTAGCAGAAGCAGGCCGCAGTGGCGGTGCGCGCGGCCTTCCGGGAGCACAGAGGGAACATGGGGGTTCCTACACAGGGGGGGTCGTCTACCCGCCCTAGATGGCCCGAGGTACGTCGGGGCACCGGGGATTTCCTTTCTAGGGTACACCTGGTTCAGCGCCTACTGTTACGTGAGACGGCGTGCGGTTTTAGTCGGTTCGAGTCCGACATTGCCACCGGTAAGTGGTATCGTATATTTCCGCACAGGAAAAAAAGGAGGACATTGCTATCTAACTTACTCTATTAGATGTTTAATTTTTTTATACCACGTATACAAGTATAACTGGCGGTACTAAAGCAGCAGGTAGAACACGCATAAGCAGACAAAAATAAAGCTTTTATTGAATTGTTGTGTACTTCTAAATGACAAATCCACTGTTATCTAAAACTAACGCATCTTACATACTGAATGTAATAGTGAATAAGTCGTTGAAATATCTATCATAAAAAAATCTGTAACTCTTTAGGATTCAACATCGCTTGTGAATTTTTCATTGTCGACGATTCAATATTAAGCACACCGAGCTTTTTTATTACTAGCTTGGTAAGGAATTTTAGGGCAACAGTAAAAGGTATGTGTTATGGTGGAGTTAAATCGAACATTAATATTGACATACGACATACGATTACGATACTCACAATCTTCATTTCTTTTTAAAACACAACTCTCAACAGTTTCTGATTTTTGAACTTTTAGTGCGAATTCTAAGGTGAAAAGTGACTGATCGGTGTTAGCGAAAGTGAGTTACAAAAATTATGAATCGGTTGACAAGACAGCCCTTTAGTGCACGTGAGACGTGAGTATGGCAGATGCTTATGGCATATGGTGAAACGAGAGGAAATGCTTCTTTAGGCCTTCGTATTTACATTCAGTGTCACCCTAACGCGTGTATCCCTATGGATAGTCGCATTATAACTCGGACATCAACGTATGCTGGATAACATTCTCATTGTACCTGAGCGGGAAGCCTCTGGCGGACATATCAGGGCGCCAGTTGAGCGAAAAGTACTAGAAACCGTTCAGCGTAATCCGCGTCTCGGCACGCGAACTACTGCGAAGTTTCCGCAGCGTCACAGGACGTCTATAGCACACTGGACTTTACACAAAATCCTTCGCAGGGCCCGCCTGGGGATGAAAGCCGTCGTGTTTCTTATTGCTGATGGTTGGTGAATCAACAGCGGCATAATCCTACCTTTGTGTCACACGTGATATGGACCGACGAGTCCACATTTACGAGGAACGGCATGTGGAACCGCCGGAATTCTCATATTTATATAGTCGATACCCTACTAGAATTCGAAAATGACTTGGCTATAGAATGGGATCAAATTGAAGATGTTCCTATTGCCTGATTACCTAGAATTTGTTTCCAGCATGACAGTGCGCCGCCATTGTGCGCTACCATTTAAATGAGATGTTCACCCAAAGGTGGATTGGGAGATTTGACTGACTGACTTTAGATATATTTTTTTTATGGGGATACATGAAAAAAAAGTATATATGACCGACACTGCGGAAGAAATGCGTCAGAGAGAAATATGAGACATTGCACCGTGCCGGAGTTTGTGAGCGAATTGGAAGACGTTACTTCGAGCCGTATCTCATAAGAAGAGAGAGACCTTAAGGTATTATGTAAACTATGGTACTGATTTAATTTATTGTTATTAAAACTGTACTTAAATGATAATCACTTAAATCATTGACAAAAGGACAGACCTCGTTTTCGAGTAGATCGGTGATCTAGATCGGATCGGATCTAGAACTTAAATAACGTATAAAATTCTGTGTAAATGTGAGAAAAAAACTGTATTCGTTAATTTATGTAACGAAATTCGTTCATGTAACGAAATTTAACCGCGATCTTCTGCAGTCTGAAGGGATTGGATGGACCTTAGCTTAATTCTGCTATTCTCTACCTCTTTAACGGTAGATTTCCTACATAGTGAATTGAAGCACCATCGTCACATGCGTGTTATTTAAAGTTAATTAATTTATGGTTAATTTTAAGTTTGGTTATTTTAAGTTACGAAAGTGCAACGATAGATTACGTTAGTACCTGTACATTGCGTCGAGCAAAATAAAACTAATCACTGTAAATCCTCTATCTTTCTTTTTTATGATGAACTGACTTTTGCATCGTGATAAGTATCCTCAGAAAAACGTTTTAGTGAGATCTATGAGACCTTGTGCCTAACACCCTGTATATCCGAACTTTTGTACCTGAATTCAAGGACTCCCATTTACAAACAAACAAATTGTACAAAAATGATAACATAGCAATGTTTAGTGATGAAATTGGAAATGGCATGGGTCCCTTAATGTTAAATACACAGTTGGGACATTCATTCAGCAATTATTGCATGCCTCACTCATCTTTTAATGATATTATGGAAAAAGTTTTAAAATCCAAATCAGACCACAATGTAAATACTTCATTAGTCATTTTTGTTGGTAACAGGGGAAATGTAAACAAAAAGAAATTCTTAGGCTACTTTGAATCCGGGCACGCCGTCATTGCGGCGGTAAGACCCGTTATGGAGGATTGGCTCGAGAGGCGTCACGGGACCCTCTCATACCGATTGACGCAGGTGATCACTGGGAAGGGATGTTTCGGAGATCACCTGTGTCTGATCCGCAAGGAGCCAACGCCTGAGTGCCACCACTGCGATGGCCAGACCGTGGACACGGCTCTCCACACGCTGGCAGAGTGCCCGGCGTGGGTTGAGCAGAGGCGAGACCTCGTGGCGGCCATCGGGGTGGGAGTTCTCTCGCTCGATAGCCTGATTGCGGCTATCGTGCGGAGCGAGAGTGCGTGGAACTCTGCCGTCTCCTTCTGCGAGCAAGTTATGCTCGCGAAGGAGACGGCGGAGCGGGACCGGGAGAGGTTTAGAACTCTCCCGGCCCGCCAGGCCCGGGCACGGGCCAGGCAGCGCAGGCGACTCAGGCGCCGGAGGTCGCAGAACGACCTCCGTCCTCCATAAGCGCAGGCCTGGGGGTGACAGGTGAGGCCATCTGTCACCCTAGCAGAAGCAGGCCGGGGTGGCGGCGAAC